CGTCGGAGGAGAAATCTCCCCGCTCCTGCGCCGTTTATGTGACTGGTTCTTAGATAAAATAAGCGAGCCCTGTAAAAAGCCAGAAATAAACCCGTGCTTGCGGAGCGTGCGCTTACTTTTGGGTGGAGTTTGGGGTATTTTTTTGTTGAACTTTGTTAAAGCCGGTGCAGCATAATAACTCCTGTAGGTGTAGAGCGGGGCCTGGGTTTGCCTGAGCAGCGCTGAGTGCTGCGCGGTGAGGAGGCCCTCCGCAAGGGGAAGCTTGTGCTTCAGCGTTCGGCTTTCTGGTTAGTGCTGTAGAGGCTTCTGTGAAGGTGCCTGCTGCGCTGCTTCTCAAACTCTGACCTGTGACAGCACTCTGGTTTTTCTCATCTGGGCCCAAGAAGCTTGTTTATGGAGACCTTCCATCTGCGGGCTCCTCCAGTGACTGCCAGGTGGGCAGCTGGCTGTCTCGAGGAAGTGCTGGCCGTTGCCCCTTTCAGAAAGGGTCCAAGATCTAATGGTGAAAATGCCGCTATTAATGTCTTTTTCTGAAATTAAGAAAGATGTAGGTTTAGTTAACCCACAATGGTGACTGTATTTTTAAGTTAATTTATGGTGAAAATAAAGGATCTGCTTTATGCTTATAGGTGGCAGTTTTATCATGAATGTGAGTTTAGTGCTAGAGAAGTAGTGCTTAATCGTTGAATGTTATTATATCTTGACTGTATGACTCTTCTGCTGGGAGGTGGCTCTTACCTATTTTTGGCCTAACGTGGCTGAATTGGTAATTAGGACAAGAATTATAAGGTGATTTGTAGGTTAGAACTTCTTAAAAGGTTTATAAAAATATGTGAGCATTAGTACATTCCCTTCTAGTAATTCTAGCATACGTTTTCTAGTTATTCTTTGTACTAAAAGAAGCCTTTGCTCTGTTTGCACAGAGTGCATTAGTGCCTAGCCTAATAAGTTTTGGTGTGTGCTTTGCGCTCTTCAGTAATGCTAAAGGTCTACAATTCCTAAGGTCTTTCGGGTTTATGATTGCCTAAGTATTTTCTGAGAATGTGAATGACCTTCAGCAGCTTGCAGAATTTAACCCACACACCTCCTCCAAAAAAGAACTATTTATTATTTTTTGGCACACTTATTTATTCAATTAATGAAATAATATTTAACTTTTCTGTGTTGTAAGACTACGTGTAGAACAGGGCGACTAAAGTGCTCTAATTTGGTGGCTGACAGCATAATAATTAGGAATGCACAGACTGTCTCTGTTTTTCTTCCAAACCAAAGGTGGTACTTCTGTTTAGGAGGTAAGCTGAAATCTTTATCCCAAAGATGTTTGCAGGACAACCATCCTTAAATAATAATATATGTGAGGTTTTACTGCAAATTTCCTGTTTATCTAGTCTCAGGCTGAATATGGATCCACAAATGCTGATGCTGTAAGTAACTCGCTACCTATAATGTCTCAGTTGTGGGTTCTGTTGTGATAGCCTTTCTGGGTTGGCATGGTGTTGGTGAATATAAAGTAACTGAAAGGCCTGTTAAGTGAGCTGTGGGAAAGGGTCACAGTGATCTGTTACCATAATGGAATTTTATTTGAAGAAACTTGAAAATAAACCCACCTTCTAAGAGCTATGCAATGGACAAAGGATGGCATTGTAGAACTTGTTTCTAGCTGTATGAGTGGGTGTTAGTGCAGTGCTGCTTACCACGGAGAATCTCTAGAATATTTCCAAACTCTGTTCTCCAAGAGCCACATGAATTTACTGGCAAGTAAATGATGCCAGCAAGAAATCCTTAACGTTCCATATTCATCCAAAGGCTTACTTAAGTTAATTTTGCAATGTGTCTTTGGTGCTAGCTGCTGTTGAGCCAAAGACTTCGAGTCCAGGACTCTGGCAGGGTGCTGCCTGCTATGCCAGCTCACATACCTGTATTGACTTGAGATGGTTTAGCTCTGTGCATGTCTAAGCCAAAAGCAGAAATTGTCTCTCAAGTCTGAATTCTAAAGGCTTTTGTAGTCACCAACTGCAGCACCTGATTCTTGGCCACTGTCAAGCTAGAAGCAGGGTGCAGACTTGCAAATACTAGTTGTTTTCTTCAACTCTTTGCAGAAATGGCTCAAGAAGAGATGGAAGTTGATCTCCAGCCAGCGGCTGGTTACTCGGTAGAGAACTTCAGGATGCTTCCCGCAGAGCACTCTGGTCACACAGCACTGTCGTCCCATGCTCCAGTGCTCAGTGAAGGAGGCGGCGGCAGCGTTACAGTTCTTCCTGCGGATGACGCTGTTGTCATACCAAATACTGGTGCAACAAGGGAAGCATCTGCTGAGCCTGACCCACAGTTGAGTCCTGCCTCCACTCTCAATGGACTGCAAAGGCTACGAGGAGCATTTGATCTGTATCAGCCATTGCCTGTGCCACAGGTCATGCAGCATCCGCGAGTGAGGAGAGCTCGCAGGCAACAGAGAATTGGTGGTTCCCAGAGGACTGTCAGTGTCAGGTAAACCAGAAATGAAACTGGGTCTGAAGTACACTCTTATCAAGTCTGGCATCAGTTTAAAACTGCCTTGCTTCCTGGCTTATAGAGCCCAGCTCAGTCCAGGTGTGTGGTTGTGGCCAAATTCTGAGCAGCTTACATACCGTTTAAGTTCAATAATGATACAGTGCTTTCTGATCTCTTCTGGCAGGATCTTTGCTCTTGTTAGGTGAATCCCCCTGTTTCTTATGTTGGCAGTGGTGGTGTTGACTTCTGAGCCCTTGTATGCTTTCCATCTTGCTTGCAGAGCTTCTCCTTGCACCGTTCCCTCTGCTCTGCCAGCTTCCTCTTGGTGCTCCCTGCAGCAGTGCTGACTCCTGGCAGTTCCAGCCAGCATTTAGCTCAAAGGAGCTTATGCTCTGTTTTGCACTTCACCTCTGATTTGGGGATTGCCTGATTAGGTTTTCTGGTGACAATTGCTGCAGAAACTTTCACAAACATGCAAACTAATATTTTTCTGTAGGGGTTTGTGGGTTTGGTGGTGGTGGGTTTGTTTTTTTTTTTGTTACCTCCAGGCAAAGAAAGTAAAAATTCTGTGTTTAATACCATTTGTGGTGGGTTTAAAGGGTGATGAGTGGGGATGCTCTCCAGCCAGAAAGAAATCCCAGTTTCTGGTTTGTTTGGGTTTTGTCTCATCTTTGTAACTTTTGTAAAAGCCAAGGGTGAAATTACAATTACCTGGAGCATTGCCTTTAAATTCAGTGAGATTAAGAACTCCTCTGCTCCCAGATGATTAAACATAACTGTACTGTTTGCCCTTGGATTGCATGTGAAGGTCACTGTAGTTCTTGGGGCTGGAAGGCAACCTGACAAGCTTCTGCTTTGAATCTGAAGGATAATTGAGATGATAGCTGAACTGATGTGGGGAGGGCGGGGGGGGTATGTGTTTCTATCCAGGGATGAAGTTCCAGTAGAAAATAAGAGGGAAAGCAGAAAGACTATGCACAAAGCAGTCAATGGAGTGAGACTCTGATACAAGCCTTGTGCATCTAATATTGCCAGTGGCTAAGGGAACCAGGTCTGAATTAGGGTTGGAGGTACCAATTAGGAGTTCCTTAGGCTATCAGTGAACAATACTCTTTTGCTTTTCTTCTCTCCAACCCCATTATCACCCCACCCCAATATCATTGTTGTAAGGAGAAGGAGATTTTCTCTGAGCAGAGCAAAATGCATGGTTGCTGTATGATAGCACTGATTGTTCATAAAGTGGGCAGTTGTATGAGATTGCTCCTCTTACCAGAGAAGGTCTGTCTTTAAACTTTGATACCTTCCTATTGCAGTCAGAGCCTAGGAATTCTGCTGCAGACAAGTGTGGAGAAACATGCCGAGTCTCTAGTTTACCTGAAATAACTGTGGCTTTTATTTCTTGCTTTTTCTGGACTTAGGACAGCATTGGACAGTTACTTTCAACTCAGCAGGACCCAAGAGCCAGCTACAGGACCAGTTCCACATCTGGAGCCCTTGCGTATTGCGAGGGATAGCCAGGAACACAGCTCAGATGAAACAGTAGAAGTGAGTGACTCTGACAGCAGCACTTCTGCTGAGGAGGAGGAAGCAGTGGAGGCTGCAGCACCGTTGTTGCCATCAGCCCAGGAGACACCTCCAGCAGCTAGCTCAGGAGGTTTGTGCTATATTTGAGCTGTGTAGAGACTTGTTTCTGAAACTCATCTTGCTGCTTCAAAACTCGGTGGGGAAATCCTTTTGAGCTTCACAACAGACGGTGCTAAGCTGTGTGCTATGCCCACAACTGACAGGAGCAGGTTGCTACCACAAGGCTTTCTGGCAAGCAGTTCCTGAGAGCAGTAGCAGCAATGGGTGATTGCTACTGTAATGTTAAATACCATCTTTTTGCTATTTGCAGGCTGCTGCTTGTAAATAATCCTGGAAATGCTCAGAATAACTTCAGATTTAAAGATTATTACTTAGCACACTTCCGCTGTTATATATTATTAAGGAGTATTATTGAAGACATCAAGTCACATCTCTGGACATCAGCAGTGCTTTCAGTTTTCAGAGAAGGATCTGATTCAGTATTTTTTTAATTATTTGCAATGTCAGTCTGCTTCAGTTTAGAGTTTTCCTTTCATTCCTGTAACAACTTGTAACACTTAGCTGAGGCTGTAGCGATACTTAGGACAGTGGGCTTTTTGTTTGTCTTTTTCTTTCCTCGGCTTTTTCTGGCTTGCAATCCGTTATCCATACTCATGTTCACAGGCTGTCACGCACTTCAGTGACATTGTATGGGATGAACAGACGCAGTTTATGTAAGAATGACAAATAGTTAACTTGCTATTCAAGGTTATTGATGCCCAGAGAATATGAGAACAAGATTTTTTTTTTTTTTAAACTGAATTCAGTCTCTAAGGAATGTCCTTATGTTTCACTCTCTGCCCTTAGGTTTGGTTTTGGTTGGTCAGCCCACTCTGACACCTTTTTTTGAGGGTACATCTATGACATGTCTTTTGAACACAATCATTCTGCTTGCTCTGAGCTAGTCTTACACGTGACAGGAGCTCAAGCTGCTAAGTGCTGTCTAATATTGTGTGAACATATGCTCTCTGTTGGGTTTTCTGGAATCCCCTTGTCTTTTTTGCTTATATAAGCCACTGGTTCCTGTTTAGCCCTGAACCACAGAGGCTGAAAACTTTATTGATATTAGCCAGGGTTAGGTGATACCTCTCCACTGGATCAAGAATATCTGCCTCGAATACTAACCATGACTAGTAACTTTTGTTTTGTCAGGAGATGGGAGGAGACAGTGACTTCTGCTCCTTTTTTAGTATGCTAGTGGTAGTAATACAAACATAGCGTTTCTGTGTGCCCATGCTTCAACAGAAGGGCTAACAGAGGCCCACCACAAAAACATATGGCCCAGCAGAATTGATAGTTTGGGTAACTACCAGCTGGAAAACTGCTTAAGTCAGGGTGAATGGACAGATAGCATATGGTAAAGCTTTCTTGGCAATGAAATATGCATGCTTAGATCCTTTGGCAAAATAACTGCTGCATATTGGTGTCTGTTTCTCTCTGGGCATAATGATGCAGGGGTGTAACCTTACATCAGCCTAACTATAGACCTGTATGCAGATACGCTTGTTTCCAGGAGGTCAGAAAATCCTGATAACAGTGGTTGTCTTTAAGACCTCTCCTTTTTCACTTAAATTCTGCTGCTTTCTATAAATGAAAACATAAAGTTCTTTAGTGCTCTGTTGATGACTAGAAGTGCTTACACGCAGACTGCCTGACCTTCAGTACCCAGGATGCTGATCTGAAGATTTGTATGTAACGTGTGCTGTTGTTGCATTGCTTCCCTTATGCCCCGATGATTTCAGATCAAGTGGAGGAGAAATCTCTCCCCCTGTTATGTATCAGTTCATTTAAGCAGTGCTTTCTTTAGCTTCCAGTCAGGTCCAAGCAGAGCCATCTCAAGCTTCTGCAGAACATGGAAGTCATGAAGAGGCTGAAGTCCAGCAAGAGCAGGTAAGGTGACCTAAATGCTTTAGGAGACAGGGTAAATATGGTAAATGCTGCATTTGTCTAAAAAAAGTTGCATTTTTTTTTTAATCCTAGAGAACTCCACTAAAGAAACTGGAACCATCAGTTCCTGTTGCACCGCTGGATGAGGAGGAAGGGGATACCTGTGCAATCTGCTTTGAGCAGTGGACCAATGCAGGGGACCACCGTCTCTCAGCATTGCGGTGTGGGCACCTATTTGGTTACACATGCATTGAAAGGTGGCTAAAGGGACAGGCGGGGAAGTGCCCCCAGGTAAAATGGACATTTATGTGCACTGGAAAGGACTTGCTATCGGGTAATTTCTGCTGCAGGCATGAGCACCATAGCTATTGCAGCCACTTGCTGCATGAAGAATCCACCTTTGCCTGCTGTCAGAAATAACAAAAATCACCATTATTTTGATGTAACTAGGCCAAGAACAACTAGCACTGCTTTAAAGGGAGGATTCTGACTTGAATTTTTCTCCTGAAGTAGAGCATTTGTGAGTAGCAACTCAGAAGTTTGAGAATTCAAGTGCTAAATCTGTAATTGGTTTCAGAACACTGCACTGTGATCCTGGAGTGTGGGAATGGCAGACAGATTCATAGAAGCAATTAACTAGGCATAAAGAATATGTTATTGGACAAGAAATCTGTTTTGGAACTGTTTTCAGTCGGTTAATCTTCTGTTTTGAACTGCATCTGCTTTTGCAGTCTTTAAGCAGATCAGGTTGTTTAGGTAGCTTGCAGAGAGTGAACTGAGAAACTAGTTGCATCCTTTAATGTCCATTTGCAAGTGGTGGATCTGCTTTTTAAGGTGCTCTTTTCAGTTTTGTTTCCATGGGTAATACTGATTTCTTTTGATTAGGTCTACATTTCTCTGTGATGTGCTTCCATTCCTTATTCCTTTTCTCCAGAAAGGAATGTTGACAAAAAATAGGTCAGAGTACCTTGTAAATAGGATTCAGTTCTGCAGCTTTTTGAGTCGGTGGCTGGAAGCCCAGGATTTCTTTGGCTTTGTCATTTTGAGAGCTTCCATGGTTTTGCCTGACTTTGTGTAGGATTCCCTCCTCTCAACAAGAAACTTCCTGTTGATGTGCACTGTGATTAAACCTAAGGAATCACTGTTGCCATAGCAAAGTCCCAAACCTTACTTTTCTTATCCCTGTCAATTCTGTGTAAGCTTTTCTTCACCCACTCCAGGCCCAGACAGAATTCTCAGAGACCTTCCCAGCATCTTTGCTCTTTGGAATTTTGTGACTGCTTTCCTGTTGAACCCTAACAACTCGTAAGAGGTGCTTGCTCCCTCTTTTTCTTACAGTGATTACTGAATTACTGAAAACTTCTGGGAGAACTTCTTGCTCTGGAGAGAACCTTGCAGCTAAATCATCTTCCCTTCATTTTCAGTCACTGTCCTTTGAGGCTGGGCATTCTCTAACTGAATAGCACAGAGTTGCTGTGTGTAGCACTGTATACTAAGTGGCTTGAGTGCAAGTTACTGTGAAATTGCAGCATTTCTGATCCTGCCAGTGACAGCTACTGGCTGCCAGGAAAGCCCCTTACTGCTCTGCAAAGCAGTTCTTTATGAAGGGAGGGGTGGTTGTCTGATCTGAAACTGTTGCCTGCAATATCTTCATGCTACTAAATAATAGAGAAGTCCGCATTTTAAGCACACATAGTAATTTAATGTTCAGTGGAGGTTACTTGATCCACGTATTCACTACCTCTTTTCTGATCCACAAAGTATATTTGCAAAACAGTAAGCTTGCAGATGCCATAATTTCTTCCAAGTCCCAACTCAGGGAGGTATTATCCTTTCTTTTTAAGGTGAATCTAAAGTACTAAATGGGCACAGCCAGAGGTACAAAATTATTAAACTATCTGACTCCCCATGTTATCACTGAAGTCAGTGGGTTGTCTGTTTCATACTGACACTGGAATGTTTTTAAGGATTTGGGCCTATAGGATTTAATCAAAGGAATATAGTACGTAAATAACAGACTTGGGAGTATACTCAGTCGTTCCCAAATCCTTGTCTGTTGGCCAAGCAGCCAGTCTTGATGTTTTCAAAATAGAAGTTGAGCTGGTGTTTTGTTTTAGATATCTTCCCCCTGCCCCGGCCTTTGTCTGGGTGGGGTTTCTTTTGTTGGTTTATTTTGTTTGGTTGGTTGTTTTTTGTCCCTGGAACTTACCTGACCATGCTGCATTGCTGGTGCTTTAGCAGAGCAAATTTAGTGGGAAGCAAGGAGATGCATTATTAAAGGTGCAATAAGATACATGACCTAAACTGCTGTAGCCCCAGTTAGAGCTTTGGTGTCTGTATGAGGGAATGTCTTGCAGACATGCTGTGGTATGTTTGTGTTCTTCTGGACTTGTTTTCAAGCAGACAACCCCTCCCTTCAAAGCTGTAAGGATTTTTCAAAGTAATGCCTAGCAACTTGTAGGGATGCATAGTTTGGATAGTTAAATTCTTGCAGAAGAACTGAACTTGTCTTTTTATTTCAGTGCAATAAGAAAGCAAAACGTTCTGACATTGTGATCCTGTATGCTCGTACTTTGAAAACACTGGATACCAGTGAACAGGAACGCATGAAAAGGTATGGAGCCTCCATGTAAAGGTATGACCTCATTGACCGTGTGCCATTGAAAGCTGCAGTCTGGCTTCTACTTCTTGCTTTAATTTGCTGTGTTGTCTAAAGCAATTTGTGTATTCCCTTGTGGATTATCATGAGTATGGCTGACTTAACAAACCAAGGCCTTGCTGGGTCGCACATGTCTAACCTGGAAGGAGAATTTTCTTTTGGGACAAAATTCTTGAGTCTGCACTTTGTGGCATTGAAATAGCAAAAGTTATCTTGTGCTGTATCCTGAAATGTCATCATGGGAGAACATGCAGAGTTGTTGCCAAAAAGCCATATATTGCTAATTCATCATTAGATGAGAAAAGTGAGGCATAGTTAGAAATGCAAGGAGGGTGAATAGCTGACCTTTTGTGCCATCTTCTCTGCATGCATTAAACAGAATAATATCTTATATGAATCACTTCCCATCCTGCTTTGTCAAACTCTTCATGTAGCTTTACTTACAAAAGGTCAAGCATTACTATGACTCTACTTCCCCCTCCAACTTAAATGTAGGCGCTTTTTTTTCTGAAAAAAGGAAAAGCAGGTATGAAAATGGGGACTAATTTCTTTTCAGAAGATGCTGTCACAGATACTGTTCTGAAATTAAAAGGCTGCAGATATCTGAGTTCTGAATCTTGTAGTGAATAGAATTTAATTGGGGTCATCCTCACATGTCTCTAACTATACTGCTGTTCTTTCAATGCAGTCTTTCAACAGAAACCTCACTATCCTGGTAATTATTAATGAGAAATGATTGAGGAGTAACTGTCATGAAGGGGAAACATCTCTTCTGTCCAGATTGCCACTGCCTGATGGTGTTTGAACTATACCTTTGGAAGGATCACACTTTTACTGGATTGACACTGCAAAACAAATGATAAATAAGATTTTTTTTTTCAAAAGCACAGAAGGCATTTGGGTGTTTAAATCTTGTTATCTCTCATGGAGAGGTACTTTTCTAACTGCTGCTTGTGTCTCAATCTCGTTGCAGCCCTTCCCCACTTGCCCTACACCTCCTCTGCCTCCTGTTTTTGTTGGGAGACAGACAGCAATGACTGCCTGTCAGCCCAGTTAAGTTGCTGGCACTGGCTGCTTTGTGGCACACAGCCACAAGTGGAGGACAAATGTAAACACTGATGCATGCATCAATATTGTTTGTGCATAGGCTTGAATTAGGTTTAAGATCATGGGGTTTTTTCCTCACATTCAAAAAAGCCAGCCTTCAGGCTCTGGGTACTTGTGTAAACAATGTGTTTCAGGTGGCTAAATAAAGCATTTCACCTGTTTCTTCTGCAGCAAAAAAATTGTGCGAAGACACTATAGGGAAATGCCAGAATTCTGTGCTTGGTAAACATGCGAGGGTAGGTCTGTGTATTTAGAAGGTACTTAGGCAAGCTAGATCTCCCTGCACCTGAACTACTGAAATAACTGGAATATTGCAGCTTTCAAAGTGCAGAATGCAGTGGTCAACATTATAGACCAAATGTGCAGATAATTTTAATACTGGTGATTCTTCCCCCTCTTAACTATTCCTTCATATGTAAAGCATATCTGAAAGAAAAATTGAAGTATATTATCAAAACTACTGCCTCTAAATTGTGTGCATGCACTTTTAGGCTCAAGGTGAGGTAGTAAGTATGGCTTCTATATGGACATTCACAGAGAATTTATGTATATCTGTCTATTTCTGATACAGCTGTATTTCCTGAAATACAAAATTAGTTACTGGTAGTAGAAACAAGCTTGCTTGTTTCAAAATAATACAACAATACTTGCTGTATTACTGACATGGTATATTACACGGACATCGATGGTATAGAATTTGCTAAACTGTTTCTGTAGAAAAAAAACCCTGATTTCTCTTTCATTCTTCTAAATTAGCACATTTGGTGAGGGTGAGGAGAAAGGCTGTTGTTTCTATGGAACAATACTTGAGTGAGTCATTTGGTACAATTGCATAAGCGAGAACATCTCAAAGTGAATGTGCTGGGTGAGTGTGGTACCAGATTTTCTGTTACATTTTAATTTACCTGAACAGGGCTTGTGTTGGGATGAATTCTGGGGGTAGGAGTAGACAGCCCAGAGAAGCATCCTAGTGTAATACCTAGTCCTAAGGATTGCTTTTCTCTCGTTCCTCCAGCTCTTTAGAAAAGGAGCAGATGTTACGGAGACAGGCAGAGCTGGAATCTGCACAGAGCCGTCTCCAGTTGCAGGTTTTGACAGATGAATGCAGCAAACTCCGCAAGCAAGTTCAGGTGAGTCTCACACTACTAATACACAGAGGATTCCCTTTCTCTTCAGCCTGTCTTTTGCATGTTCCCTTAGAGGAGAGAAGACAAGCTTCCAGTTTTAATAAGTGGCAAGATTTAGTATACTCAATTGGTGAATCCATCAGGAGTATCCTAAACATCCCAGGCTGGCATATTCATGTATACTACCTAACACTGCTGCTTCTTTTTTTTCTTTTTCTATTTTGTGTGTGTGTATCTAAGACTTAATCAAAGTTGCAAGTACGGCTTAGCAGTAGAGTTTTTTGGCTGTTGATGTTGCAGGTTCCTCCTCGGGTTTTGTGGTGCCTGGAAAGGCCTGGCGATACAGCACCAAACTTATTCTCCTCATCTCTCTTAGCTACATCAAAATAAGCTTTGAAAATCTCTACTAGTAATAATAAGTCCCAGTACAGGTTTACTGTTAGTCAAGAGCCTTTGAGAACTAGTTTGTGAAGAGGTATGGCTATTTGCAAAAAGAAAAGAAAAAAAAAAAAAAAAACCAAGAAACCCTAATTTTTTTGTGAAGGTCAGTCAGCATTCTGCTTAAGCACCTTCTGGTACCATGAGACCTGTCCTGTCAATAGGGTAGGCTGTATGCATGGGCTGAACAGCTGCTAAGAGGCACCTCTGTCCCCTTAGAATACAAATTACTGAAAATAAATGACTGGTTGCTAAATCACTGCTTCTTGTCTGGCTCATGCAATACTGTAGTGTTTTGTAACCCATCACAGCTGCTTTTGCAGGATTCCTATAAATTGTGGACTTAATTCACAGTTGGAAGCACCAGTAATCTGGCATGTTGCACCAATGCGAGGTTTTCCAATAGCCTGTTTTACAGCCAGTTTGCTACTTTTTTGTTGTATGAAGTAGATTATATCTCATCTCTCACTGTCTAGTAACTCGCTTAATTTTCTGCTTTTCTCTACTTCTGGATTTTTTTTATAGCCTTGGCTATTCATGTCTGTACATTAAGCAACATTCTCTTTGCTGAAGTCTTCCTGTGTGATGTAAGATAAGGCTTCATAAATTGCTTGCCTAAATTCTTGCATGAAGCTGTACACTCATCAGAGCTAATAAGAAAATTGGTCCACTTTCACATTTTTCTTTAGACTTATGTGAATAAGATAAAACTGCACGTCCATAATGTCTTCCTGCAGTTCTGGTGTTAAATGATAGAGTATCCAGTCTAACTGAATTGAAGTTGCGTGTTACAAAGATTAAGTACCCTGTGTTCTTTAAGCTCTGTTTCAGTATTTATACTGCATTCATCACTGTCCTGTAGTGGTTAATGTGAATGCTGGAAGCAATTTTAAGGTGCTTGTTTATACTATGAATAAACTGAAAGTAAAACAATTTGCTGGGGAGCAGAAAATCAGCACGAAGTCTGGAATAAGTCTAAGTTGTTTGATTGTATTTTGAGCATGTGTCTAATGAGTTCCTTCTCTTATGAGAGGTCATCTAGTAAAGCAACTACTTGCATAGAATCGTTTAGGTTGGAAGGGACCCTAGTTGAGTAACTTCAGTGCTGGGTTGGGTTCCTCAGGGCACTGTCACGCCAGGTGTTGAGTGTATGCAAGCAGATCACACAGCCTCTCTGGACATCTCATTGACCATCCTCATTGAGCAATCTTTTTTCCTAACATCTAATCTGAATTTGCCTTGTTACATCTTGAGTCTGTTGCCCTGGTCCTTTCAGCAAGCAATGTTACTGATGGCACCAGAAAACGTGTTTAATTGGCAATCAAAGTTGTAAGTCAATATAGAAAACAAAGTGCTGTAGGATTACAAAAGAAATGCGTGAAGTGTCCATATGCTCAGGGAGACATTCAGTATGGCAAAGTTCAGTTGCACAGAACTTTATTGAAATAGTTATGATGTTCATTGGTTGCATACGAACCTTGGTGTCTGAAGTCTTACAGAAAGCAAATACCATCGGTTTCCCCCCAAAAGTCATTATGTGAACCCTTTTTTGTTTCTAAGTGCTTGAGAGCTGTGCCTCATCAGCAGTCATGTCAGTAGTTATGACCTTTTTTAGGTTTGTATGCATTTTTCCCTACTTTTGTCCATTGTACTTTGTTATTGAAATATTTAAGGTGATTGAGGCTAGAAAAGGGATGTTTTTTTAAGACTTTAGCTATATGAAAATATATGCGGAAAGGAAGTTGAGGGCAGAGAGGGTAGGTAGCTAACTAAAACTCTGGAAGAAAGCTCTCAACAGTGGTGTTTCTACATGTAAACCCTGCAGCATGTGCTGTGCTGAGCTATATGCTGCACACTGCATGGCAGGTTCAGACTTGCATTTTGGAAGCAGTGCTACTGAAGCTTTACTTTTGCCTGAAGCTTTTCCTTTGTGAGCACAAAGAACTTGGGAATCAAACATGAGCTACTGCAGTACTCTTTCTGAATCTGCCAAAATTTTCAATAAAAGTTGGCTAACAATAAGCAAACCATGTCTGCCTTCTGACATTGATACCACTGATCAACTGGGGTAGGAGATTCATTTTTGCAAGTGGGAAACGGTAGCTCTGTTTGCATATGGAGCAGTAAAGGGAGGACTGGCAGGGAAATGACAGGAGATTGCATGCTGCTGTAGAGAAGAAAGCAAGTGTAATTGTGAGCCTTGCAGAGGTCAGTTTATACTGCTCAATGTATTGGAAAAGCTTTTTTAAATAGGATTTTCAGAGCATCCAAAAACAATTGGATGGCAGAATATCAATAAAAATTTGTGAAACTAACACCTTTAGAAAAATTTTAGGTTAATGGTTTTATTGCGTAAAAGTCTTTCATCTTTGTGTTCACCCCCAGTTGATGTCTGGGGAAGATCTAGAAGAAGTAAGTAAAACCTGGTATTTCATTCAGCTGTTATAGTGAAGCCAATTAAATAATGCTCTGTGTCCCTTTGACTGAATTTGAACCTGAACCAAAGGAAGGTGGAATGCCTGTAGTGCTGCACCGTAGCCTGAGGTTGTACAGTCGTGTTTATTAAATGCAAGGCTGAGGCTGTGTAGTGCAAGACAGCAGGTATGACTTCTGTGGGAGCACAGCCAGCGAGTGACAGTCATCTGATAACTGCCTTTGTCTTTAAAGCTTCATATCGGCTATTAAGACTGTATACTAATACTCAAAAGAAAACTGTTCTGAAATTCTTGTAGCTGGTGGCTTTCCTTTCCTATTCATTGTGCTCTCCTGCTTCTACTTCTCATGCATACTCCTCAGGAACACTTCTGTATAGCCTCTTCTTTCCCCAACCTACGTGACTGTGTGTGTTCATCACTACAATGGCACGCTGAAATCTAGGAGGCAGTCATAGTGTGTGCAGAGAGACAAGTGTGCCCTTGAGGCCCTGAGTCAACACCAGGCATCAGGAAAAGTCTGCAGACATCTTAAAGGAAGGTATAGGCTTACGCTACCAGAAGAGTGTTCTTTTGAGCACAATTAGTGGAATTTGTTCTGCAGTGCAACATTTTTAATCACCTTGGTAATGTGTCTCCAGTAAGACTTCTTGATTCTGCTGGGTTTGTCCATTGTGTTTAAATGTAAACATTGTACGACTAATCCTTGTGGTTTTAATTGCCTGGTTTCCTTTTTAATAACTTGTGTAAAAGTTGAATGTTGAGTGCAGGTGACAAGGAGAGTTTCATAAACTCCCCAGATCAACAAATAATTTTAACTTCTTCTGACCCTCAGTGGTGGTGGTATCCTCCTGCCTTTTAGAAATAATGAGTTTATTAAATCTTTGATTAAAAGTAACTTTCTTCTAGGTTACCTGTGTTTTCACTGACCGCTTACTCTAAGCCCAAAGCTATAGCTTCCATCATAAGCATCCTGGCACCCCCCACACCTCTTCTTCCTCCCCAGGTTGTTTGGTCTTTGCTTGCTCCAATGGGATCGTCTTGAGTCTTCAGCTTCGATTTTTATTCCCTTGGTGAATTTGCAATGAGCTTGATGCAAAACAGATCAGACCTCTGTAAAATACCAGAACTATTCTCCTCTTGAGTGGTTTCCAAAAGTTATAGGTCTTGATGATAACTATTAATGTAGAGCTTGATCTTTGATCTTGCCTCTGAGAACTGCTGCCTTTGCTTAGATGTGAGTTAAATAGTAGTGGCTAGTTCAATACTGAAGCTAGCTTGCAATCTACTAATACATTCATAATATCACTCTTGTGGCCCTTGATTGTTTAAAAATTACATAGTATTTGAAGCATAATCTATGTTGCTCAGACAACAGAAAGCAAGTAGCAATTTTCTTAATATATACATTCCCTCTAATATCCCTGGGGTTCTGTACTGCCTGTTTTTGCCCTTGGATTACAAGAAGTTGGTCAACATGCTTTTTTGGGGGGCATTTTTAGTAGACTCACAATATGCCAGTGCATACCCACCTCACCCCTGATGATCTCTGTGGAAAGAGGAATTCTAGGAATACCTTGTTGCTGACAGAAGCTGTCCTTGGCTGTGTCTCTGCTGAGCATCCTTGAGCATTCATCAGTTGAGGTGGAGGAAGAGGGGGGAGGAGGTAGCGGAAAATAGGGCTGGTGCTCTTGAGAGTTGTGTTGTTCCTGGAATTTGCTGCCCAGGGTTTACAAGAACAGAGTCATCTTCATTAAATAGACTGACTTGTTTCCTGCAATGCCCGTTATGTTGAAATTCGGGCTTTTTTTTTTTTATGGGGTATTCTGGAAATTCTGGAAAATGGTTCTAATTGACTTTCGCTTGTGGTTTAGCTGCATGTAATACTTGGCAGTTCATTCTTTTCTAAACAGCATTGATCTGGTAATAATTGTTACTGGCTTTTATGTGTTGTCCAAGAGTCCTCTCTCACAGGGTCTAATACATACAATAACAGACTTTGAGTACATTCTGCCAGAACTTGCATAGCATTTTGAATGCTTTTGTTGCTCACTGTCATAGCAAGTGGACTTGGAAATCCAGCATTTCAGGAACAGCATGAAAATTGGACCATATTCTCCCTCCTTTATCTGAGAACAAGTACAGTTGGAGCATCTGGAACAGATAGCATGGTAGGTTACATCACCGGTGACGCATTAAAGCTCTTTGGGTATCTTTCTTTGCAGGAGCTGAAGGCTCTGGTGGCTCAGCACAATGTGAATGCTTCTCAGCAACCTGGCAGTTCCCGTGCCCGCCTCCCAGGCAGCCTCCCCTCCAGCCAAAGCCAGCGCAAGTACCACTTGGAAAAGGTTTTTGTGGTGTCTCAGACTGGGAACTGCAGGGTAATGGCATACTGTGACTCACTGAGTTGTCTCGTGGTATCACAGCCTTCTCCACAGTCTACTTTTATTCCTGGTAAGTCAAGATTTGGGGGTTCATAGGTGAAAGTTACATGTGTGTTCTACTTGCTCCCTGCTCCCCCCCTTCTCCTTGCTTGACCTTCGCATGTGCCTTGTAAACTGGGAATACTCATAAGACTCCCTGTAGTTCATCTGGCCCCTGCATTGGTAATGAGTGCCTAGTGAAGTAGCTTGTTTCCCCCATCACTTCTGTGGCAGAATCCTAGCAGAGGGTCTCTGGCTCTTCTGCTGAAGTGCCACATCCACAAGAAGGTAAAAAGTATGTCTGGTACTCCTTGCAGAGGTGGGCCTTCTAAAAGAAGGGGCCAGCGCACTAGGGCATGTGGAGAAACTTCCAGTGCTTGAGTGAGAAACATTGCTCCCCAAATTGTAGGTGGATTGATCCACATGCAGCTGATTTGTTAATACTTTTTTAAAAAAGAAAAGAAAAACTAAAAGCAAAAAACTTTTAATATGAATTATAGGAGCACTGTTTCCCAGTGAGGAAATAGGAAGCCAAGGAGTCATGGGCAGCCCTGTTTCTGTCAGTTATGGCCAGGAGCAAGTGACCTGACATCTGGACCAGCGCCAACTTGCTTTTTCAGTGAAATGGATGTAGCATTAGGAGTCTGAGAGAGTTTATTTGCAAAGTACTTCAATGCTTTTTGAACGATGAAACTTACTTTATTTGGTTAATCATCTGGAGATTAATATGCCTTATCTAGGCATAACAAAATTACTTTCTGCGTTCAACTAACCTTATTTTTCTGGCTTTTGGAGCCAGGGAATGCATCTGAATGGAGGCTTTGTGGTGACTTGCAGCACACAGGTTAAGTTAAGCTGTAAGCATTCTTTGCAGTGACACTTCTTGTCTTAAATAGCCATGTAATCCTACTGTGTGTGTGTTTTATCTAGGCAAGAATGTCTTCGAAGAAACTGGCTAAAGAGCAGCAGGCTCTTGTAACAAGAATTGTAACACTGATATTGAGTTAGTTCTTGCTGGGTGGGATCCTTAGGGATTTAGCCCTGTTGCCATTTGAACTAAAGCATGATTTGTGGCAGTTCTTATACAGAACAGCAAATAACTCTTATGTGTTCATCCTACCACAGGCTTCAGTACCGACATTGCAGTTCTGGCATAGAATTGCTAGTTGTACACATATGCTGCTTCACTATAACCTGCTTTATCCTTCTTCTGTGACAGGTTGTGGTGTTAAGATGATGAGCGTGGCCAACCTGAAGAGCAGTCAGTACATCCCCATCCATAGTAAACAGATTCGGGGACTGGCTTTCGGCAGTCGAGCAGATGGCTTGCTGCTGTCTGCTGCTCTGGACAACACTCTTAAACTTACCAGGTGAGCCCTGCTGGGAGGACCAACCTGTCCCAGCAGAGTTTTGCTGTGTGCAAGAGACTGGATTGGATTTTGTTCAGTCTCGCTCTAAATGTCTTGCAGCACTTGTTATTCTGCTTTCCAAAAGATGCTGCTAAGATGAGACCAGGTCTGCATATATTCCTCCTGAATGTGGGAACTAACAGAGAGAAAGACTTGTTCTCATTTTCAGGTCCTTTACATGGAGGTGTTATGGAGCTACCCATCTCTGACAACTTTCCTGTGGAGAATTCAGTAGAAAACAAGTAATTCAACATGGATTGGCCAAGTTGTGTTGAGAAAGAATGTAGTATGATGTATAAATGTGAAAGTTACTGACTGCTTGGTTTTCTGTTACTACAGGGAAGACTTGGAGCATGGAAACTTTTATGGCCTAAAACAGAAACAAGGGGTATTTAGGTTGGGCGCTTTCTTCCCTGCATTAACATTGGCTTCTCTGACTTTAAACTTCTTGCAGAGCATGGAATTCATCTGGGATATGAAATGCGTAGGCAGCACTGAGCACATGCTAGAGGAACACAGGTTCTCTAGAGCTAGCAGCGACTTAAAGCAGCAGCTTGGAGGCTAATTATGCAGAGGCTGAGATAAAAATGTGTCCAGTCCTTGTAGAATTTACAGCCTATGAGTGTATTTTCTTGCTACTCTGTGTTGCTTTTCAATCTTAAGCTCCAGCTGCTTCAAAACTTTGCTGGCTGATTGATTCTTACTGAGTTATATTAACATCTTTATGCACATCTGTCTGTCAGTTAGTATAGGGTTAGGCAGGATATGTTTGTCATGTGACTGATTAGTCCCAGTTCTTTCCCATGAGTGAAGCAATGAAGAGAATTTAATCCTGCAACAAAAATGTAAAGAATGTTGCTTTCCTGTTACCATGTTGAAATGTTTGCTAGACTAGTTAAAAGTAAACAAAACTGTCTGATGCCGAAGTCAGCATGTCAGATTTCTAACTGATGAGGTTGATATTTTTTTCATGGTTTAATCTGGAGAGTGGCTTCTCATCGCAGAATCTGCTCAGACACTTGACTTCCATATCTGCCTGGCTGGCTGCATTGGAACTTGTGATCCTGTTGCCTTTGTGCTTGATCCCAGAATGTCTGGCAGTTAAGTGCTTGCTTCAGCAGCACCTTCATACTTCTTTCAGTCTCCCTGTGAAAGAAGAGTCCCTCTTTAGTTATATCTTTCTTCTCTAGTTACTGATTTCATAGTCATCCTACCAAAAGGAATTATCCAAGATGTCCTTAAGTCTCCTGTTCTGGCTTGCAAGTGTTTAAAATAGGACTATGACTTTGGGTTTGTGGTTTGGTTTGGTGGTGGTGGGTGTGTGTGTCCGCCCCCCCCATTTGTTTTTAACCAGTCACTGTTTTGATATCAAACTCCCTGTTAGTTTTCCCCAGCCAGGTTTGTCTTTGTGGTTGTTCCCCTTATACTTACCTGGGAGCAATTACTTGCTTCTCTGGAGTTCTTCTGAGCATAATCACCTTCACCAGGGAGAAGCCCATGTGTTGTAAAAGATATCCAGAGTTACTTTGATATGTGCTGTCTTCTGTCTCCTGCTGTTCTCAATGTGCTGAGCCTATGTTGACAAATATGTTCTCATCTGACACCAACTTCATCTGCTATTTGGGGTTGCACCCCTCTGTCTACTCCCCTCTTCTTCCTTCCACAAATTGAGTTTCTAAGGAATTAACACTATAAATGTGCTTTTAACTGTCTTTACTCCACTCACTATCTCACTCTTGCTTAAACTGGATTCTTTTGAGGCATAAGCACTGTTCCTCTCATGTAAAAAGAGGGAAATAATTAATAAGAGATGTAATCTGAAGAGATGAGCCCTGTGATCTCCGGAATATGCGATATTATGGGATTATACTAGAGTCACTTCTCCTAATTGTTTCCAGAAAAGTAACAGCTTTCTCTTTCCAGTAAGGCAGCTGAGTCCCTGCTCTGAGGTTTCCTTTTCCAGTCTCCAAAGATCAATCTGGAAAAAGAAGCATTGGCCTGGAAGAATTATAAATCACTTGACAATATCCAAGTGATTATTCTGTCTAGATTTTCCAGATTCATGTCTGGAGTAAAGGAGGAGTTAATTCAAAATTCAGTTGAGAGATGCATCTGTCTAAAGACTTTAAAAAGCTAGATTTGCTTACCTTAATTATGCCATTTTCTCATCAGTAGATGCTTGTGCAACGGGCCAATGCTTTGCTCTTCTTCTGCAGCTTGGCAACAAATACTGTAGTGCAGACATACAATGCTGGCCGTCCTGTCTGGAGCTGCTGCTGGTGCCTCGATGATACAAACTACATCTATGCTGGATTGGTCAATGGCTCTATCATGATATATGATTTGAGAGACACGAACTCCCATGTCCAGGAACTAGTTCCTCAGAAGTCAAGGTATGGCATAAGGGTTTTTCATTCCTCTCAACTTCGCTAATATACATTAAGCTAAACACTGCTTCTTCCATAAATCACAGGCAATTGTAATAGTTTAAATTGTTTTATGTGAATCTCTTTTTCAAAAATTCAAATTTAGCACAGACATGAGAAGTCTCACATAAGGCTGCATGGTATATGTATAACTTAATATGAGTGCTTGGCACCTGCATCTTTTTAAGGCACACAGTCATCAGAAATGGACCCACTGGTGCAGCCTAAGCAGGAGAACTGGATTTGTTTTGGAGCTGGGTTTAGTATTTGGTTTGTCCTTTTCCAAATTACAAAGAGGTGCAAGATGCTGGTACTTCAATCTCTTCTACTCAGGGAAACAAATGCTGATTTACACGCATCTGATGTGTGCTGTCTGATGCTTCTTTAAAACATAAAGCTCAGTATTTAAATTGAATTTCATTTATCCTTGACAAACCCATTGGGGTTCTTGCTTGAAGAACCATTTTCTAGCCTGCTTAGGCCCTTTCTTTGAAATGTGGTTGGAGAGACTGGAGATCTGAAGTGGTGAGGCAGAACACCAGCATGGCTGCAGCTGGCAGCACTGACTCTGGCCAATCACACTTTCAGGTGCCCCATGGTATCGCTGTCCTATCTGCCGCGGATGGCTTCAGCATCACTGCCTTACGGTGGAATATTAGCTGGGACCTTGGAAGGAGCCTGCTTTTGGGAACGGAAAGCTGGCAACTCCTACCGGCCTCATCACCTGCCACTGGAACCTGGAGGATGCATCGATATTCAAACAGAGATCAGCACACGGCACTGCCTCGCGACATACAGGCCTAGTACGTATTGGCGTGCATCTGCAATACGCTTTTCATTGCCATTCTGAGTTCAACAGCAGCTTTGGTGCTGAGGAGGTGACAGCAGAAATGTACCTGCCCTAGCCAGAGCAATGAGAATCTGCACATAGATAAGAACTGGGTGAGGGCAAAAGGAGGCAGCTGCAGGGTGGTGTTGCTTGTAGTCCTAAAGTTAAAACTTGTCTGCAATTAAATTTTCCAAAGGTTACCTTTCTTATTTCTGCCACGCAGGTAAAAATAACCCATGTGTGCGTTGTGTGATGATGGAACTGACTTGCAGCCCACTGACAGAGGCATCTGAAGATGTGGTGTGTTCTTCTAACCCAGTTCAGACTTTCAGTGCTGGGCCCACCTGCAAGTTGCTGACCAAGAATGCCATTTTTCAGAGCCCAGAGGAGGATGGCAGCGTCTTTGTGTGTGCTGGTGATGAGGCATCTAATTCTGCCCTGGTATCTCTCATTCCTTCTGTTGTGGTGGAGGGTTTTATTGCAATTCTTGAGAGAAGCCTTATCAGTTAGAGCATCGATGTGTTTTGGTGGGAATTGTCCTGTCATGCACGTTACCCTGTGCAGGTTGGTCTGTTGTACTTGCTATAGCAGGTGTAACTTTTCGATAGCATGGGACACTCAATACTAGCCAAGGCCTGTGGTGCCCATCCATCAAAAGGAATGTAGACATCTGTTGTCCACTGGAGGAATGCAGTTGGGCACACTGGCACAACTGGGTGCTGTTAACTGGTGTAACAGGGACTTGGTGGGATAGCTAATGTGGTAAGTGCTGTGAGGGTTGGACGCAGGCTCTTTAGGAATGACAGGGAAGATGAGGAGAAAGGTTGCCCTTTGTATGAAAAAGCAGCTCAGATGCAGAAGATGAACAACAGGCTGCAAGAGAGCTCCTAAGTCAGGGTCAGAGGAGAGGGCGGTCTGAGTAACATTGTGCTGTGAGTCTGTTAAAGACCATCCAAGCAGGGTGTGAAAGTAGAGAAAGGGTCCTGTAAGTAACTCGAGGAATGTCTTTTCTCTAGAGAGAGGAAGCTTTCTTTTGGATGGGAGGGGACAATCCTGCAACCTTTGACCTTCTCTGTCCCACAGCTATGGGATGCTGGAAGTGGCTCCTTGCTGCAGAAGCTGCAGGCTGACCTGCCTGTGCTGGATATCTGCCCCTTGGAAGTGAACCAAACCCACCTCCTGGCTACTCTGACTGAGAAGACAGTGAAGATCTACAAGTGGCAGTGAGAGCTGTCCCTGCCACACCTGCCACAGAGAGGCTTTCCAAATATGCTGCTGACTAACCCTACACAACCACTCAGTCCCAGACTCTGCTGTCCTGCACGTGCTGCTTACAGGAGACAGGAACCACTACAGCACCTTTCTGGCAGTAGGCAGGAACTGGGATGTGCTGGTGCCTGAAGCAATTACCTTCTTCCTCCATCTTCCTTTTTAGGTCTGCCCTTATTTCTTCTTTGGTCAATTTTCTTCAGTCAAACTCCGCAAGCTGCCTCAGCACAGCAGTAATTCTTGGACTGTCTCCAGCATGTGTTGCTGTACTTTTTTCCAATGTGAATACAGCACAGGGACTTGCAAATCTCTTCTATGAATGAACAAAATAAGATGAACTTGAAGACCTAAGACTCTCACTGCACTTACTTGTGAAGTCCTGCTGTGATTACTGGGTGATGAAAAGGTGGCCATATTGGCATCTTGCTAGCATTGCTGATGCTCAGTGTAAAAGCAAGTTCACTGCTTTAGGGAACATGCTCCCATGTTCTTTTGAAGGTCTAGGGTCAGTTGGCAGTTATTCCCTGATGAGAACAGACCCTGTTTTGTGGCCATGGAGAGAACAGGCTTGGAAAATCTACAGAGAACCTTTTACTTTTTTTTTTTTAATGAGCATATAATTTGCACTGTTATTCCTTAATTCTCTGCCTCCATTTCCTACCCCCTTCTCTCTTCCCTGTTTCACCCGCAAACAAACTTGGACAGTTTGTTGTGGAAAATGAAACTAGAGAAGTACAGGTAAAGAGGAGGAGATGATTCTTGTACTGTTGGCTGCTGAAGTCCATGCTGTCCTTGCTTAAAGACAGCAATGTACTGAAACAGTACCTTGGAAAAGAATGCTGGCTGATTTTTTTTTTTTTTTTTTTTTGGTTGGGTGTGCCCCCCGTTCCCTCCCCCGCCTTTAAAGAAGTGGTGGAAACACAGGGATTTCATCAGTTTGCTTTCATTGACCCTTTGCCTTCATTAAATCATAGTTGCCAGCTCACCAGCTGGTCACAGCTAGCTTTCAGTTGTATCTGTGTGCAAGTGTGCTGCAGACTTGCTGGTTTACGTAAGTCTGAGCCCATCGGGTGGGATCACGGGTCAGGGAATGTGTGCTGGCCAGGTGGGCTCTTAGCACACTTACGACAAATATGCTGAGGGGTGTGAGAACACTTATCTCCAGGTCAGATCACAGAAGAGGACTTGGGTTTCATTTAATGGTTAACAAAAGCAAACTTGCAAGGATGTTGGAAGCTGCAAGACAAGTTCCCTGTGCTGGAAACGTATCCCTTGGCACACCTCTGCCTCTGGCCGTGGTAAGCAACATCTGTCCTGTTTGGATTGAGTGTGCCACCACTTAAACTGCCAGGACAATTTTATTTTCTGAAGTCTAGGGCTTGCACAGTATGATCCTGTTTGTATTCCCTCTTAAAAATGAGATTGAGAAGATCTCTGCTTAACTTTATATTTTTCTGTATAGTATTTTGTTCCTATATTTTTATATACTCTAAAAATAAAGCCGTTTTAGTTATCAAATATAACTGGTGCTGCTGTAATTCAGAAATATGTCTCGGTGATATACAGTGCACATCTTGTAAACATAAACAAGTATCCCCATATACAGGGAAGGTTTCTCGTGCTTTGAATTACTTCCAAGTTACACTGAGCTTCAGACTGAAATAATGGAGGCTTTTAGCGAATGAAGAGTCCTCACTGAACTGTGCTGCTCTGCTCAACCCTTTCCTTTCCCCTCACCTGGTCAAAGTCAGGCTGTGCACCTGGGACATCCTTTTAACTGGAAATAAACTTACTGATGTGAGGCTTTTTGGCATTTTAACAATGATCAGGAACAAAGGGTTAGTAGAAAGAATAATATTGTAAGAAAGTTTCTGGGAATGCCAGCTAAAACCAGGAGCAAGCAGCTCTCTGCCAGCTTAGTGCAGTGAGCTGCTTATTCTTAGGCATTTTTGAGACCTCACTTATCCTCAGTCAACTCCAACCCCTTCTTCCCACAAGAAATTTGTAAAATTTTAAACATACACAGGAAAGGAATTAAAAGACCTCAGCTTTTAATTTTGTTTTCTACTTTATACTGTCCTACAGGAATAAGAGGTAAAAACTTAAATGCTATTAAAATAATAATGGAAGATGACATTTTCATGTTCTCTGTTTTCAAATCCAGAGTTTAAGAAAACTTTCAAAGATTTGAGATGTGAAGAACCTCGTAACACTGTCCTAGTCACAGGTTTGCAGCAGGCTCCAGGAAACAGCACCAAATTGTGTGCAGAAAGCCATCAGCATCAAGGGCTGATAAAAGGTCAAATGTGTTAATTAAATATTTACTTATTTCTGGAGTCAAAGGGGCAGATTCTGGGATGGAAGGAAGGAAAAATTGGTGTCTGCATGATGCAGGGCAGCTGTCATTAGAGGCTGAGCTGTTTCAGTGGTGTTTCAGGCAATAAGCCACTATGTGGCTATTTCTGCCTCTGTCTCCAGGAAGATTTTATCGTGGAGCAGGGCAGCCCCTTGGCAATGCCTGTAGTAAATCTGATGCAAGGCGATAGGTAAAGCCAGGCAGCACTGTGGTTCCTGCAGATGGGGCCTTGCTCTTAGCTAAAAAAAAAAAAAAAAAAAAAAAAAGTTTTTCCAGGCTGTTATGGGGAGCACCTTTCCTAATTCTAATTCTTGTAAAACCAGGCCTGAGGAACACCACAGCGTTGGCCGGAGCTGGTTGCGGTGGCAGCTTGGCAGGAAACCCAGGGGCTGTGCTAGTGCTGTCCGTCCTCTATGTGTCCCTTCAAAGGGAGTGATCCAGTGTTAGGCTGCAGTGATCTGCGAAGTGAGCAAAAGCCTGGGCAGGGGAGGGTCCCATGGGGACCTCATTGCCCTAGCATCTACCCTTGCATTTTAGCCATTAGTTTGTAGTGACTGAGGGGTGAGATTTCAATAAATATAATCAAAAATGTTGCAGATGACAAAAGATAGTGCTAAAAGAGTATGAGCAAGGAAGTGAGCACAGCTTGGTGTGCGTGCATGCAAGGCAGGACCTGCCAATGCTTCGCTTGTCTCTGGCTGTGCCTGCCGCTTCCTGGAGGGTGGAAAAGCAGCTATTTTATGTGTCCTGAACCAACTTGGATTAAAACCAGGCAATGCAGCAAGTGAAACAAGCAGCTTAATCTGAACCATTACACTGAAGTAGCCAAAGCATTCCATTGGGATTTCATTTAGTTCTCCTTTTCAGTTTGCAAGGAGACGTGGCAAGATTTTCTGCTAATGTGTAGATTAGCAGATTTTTCTACCAAGGCAGTAAATTCCTTAACAGATTTTAACTTAACTGGCTTTCTGCTGGTTTATGAAGGAGAGAGAATATGAGGAGAAGGAAGAAGGGAGGGAGGAAATGAATGAGCAAGCAAAAACTAGTTTTCTGTTGGGTTTGGTTTGTATTGAATACCAGAACTAGTAAATGTGAAAGAACAGATTTCACTGCCGAGAGAGGTAGGGAGAAAGGGGCAAGGTCTCCCCTGCTGGGATGCACTTCCAACTTTCTATTAGCAAATCTGCAGTAAAGGCTTTTCCCAGCTAAAAAGTGGATTAGTTGAGCGCTCAGGCACGCTCTGAGTCCAGCTGCATCCCTAAATGTTGCGGAGTTGCATGCAAAATCGAGCAGAGGGGGTCACAGCACCTTGGCAGCAGGACTGCCCCTCTGCTGAGCTGCTGTCATCCCCTGCGAGCACTCTCAGCCTGCGAAGTCAAGCATGTTGGTGTAAACAGCCTCTGTCGCTTAAGATAACAATATTTATCATTGTTCATTTGCATTTGAGATAGTTAGAGATATTTAGAGATACTGCTGAGAAGGCAGAAATGCCTCGTGCTTGCATCACTTTGCTCAAGATGGGCTGCGCTTGGCTGGCAGCCAGAGCTGCGGGTGCCCTGGCATTACAGAGCGCTGGGTGGTGCGGGGTGGGTGCCTGCAGGAAACTCATGCTCTGGTACAGGGGAGTTCACTGATAAAGTCTCAGAGCTGTAGCAGCATCTCAAGAACACCAGGGGGATGTGGGATGTTGCTCCTATCCTGTCTCTTGCAAAACAGGGCCTCTAAGTAGCAAAAAAATAGAGGAGTTGGGGAACTACACCCTAACATGCTTATCTAATCCTTGGGACAAACTTAGCAGTAACAGGCCCTGTCCAACCTGTGCTGGTCAAAAGAAAAAATGCCTCGAACTAATTTCAGTGATTATCCCACGCCGTGAAGCGTAATTAATTGGAGGGTCCAGGGGGTTTAGTCTCACATCAAGTCCAATTTGGTGTTTCCGCTAGCGGCAGAGGTCACGGAAGGGAGAGCAAGCCCCCAGTGCTTCAGACGGTGTCAAGCTGGGAGCAGCACTGAGTGCTTGGGAAGGCAGAAGTGGGATTGGGAAAGAATTGTGGCAGGTTGGAGGAAGGTTTGGAAAATTGCCTATTTTTTTTTTTTTGTAAAGGTAGGTGCTAACTGCAACACAGAGCTGCATAAATTCAGGGTGGGGAGCAACAGGCTCTGCAGTAACGACCTGGGGCTTCCGATGCTTTGTGAAGCAATGATGTGTCAACAGCATCACCCTTTTGTGAAAAACACAAATGTCAGGTCAGGCTGGATGAAGAGTTGTGGTACGAAGCTCCCCTTGCACTTGACACTCACAAGGTTATAGCTGGAATATTGTCCCCTGTTTGTCCACAGCTTCCTCGGAAGCTAAATACTGCCATGGCCATCTGGTTATTTCCTAACATGAGCAAGCAACGGTGCTGCAGGACTCTGACCTACGAGAAAAGCTGAAACAAATTGGGGCTGAACCTGTGCATGTCGTGCAAATAAAACACGAAATACCAGGCTAGCGTTGCTGCCTTAGCCATCAACAAAAAGCGCTGAATGGTAGCAGTAACGAAGCACCCGACTAGGTGCTCTGCAACAGCTTTTGTCGTGGAGATGATCATCAGTTGGGAAAGGCAGCACTGAAGTTTTGGGGGGCCGACAGCATTGGAGTGAGGCAGCTAAGCCAGTCTGCATGCAAGGGAGAGGGCCTCAGCGGACTGCGT